TATCACAATTTTTTTATTATTTTCTATTTTTATGATATACACACTCATCTGTTTGATTAATTACAAATCCATAAGATAGTATATTTCATCAAATTTCATGTGCCATTGGTTTTTGGAGCTTGTTTGAGGCCATATAGGTGATTCTTAATAAGGTTTACATACTTTCTTTTCTTGTCAGAAGCTATAAATCGCCTCGGTTGATCCATATTAGATTTTCTTCATCTAAATCTCTATTTAAGAATGCAGGTTTTAACATCCATTTGATGGTATTAATTTAATTTTGTGGAAAAATGCCTAGAGCCTTATAAGGACTCTAATTGCCGTAGCTAATCAGCTACTTGGAGAATAGACATCAAAATATATCAATACCAGATTTTGCGCGTATATCTTTAGCACTACTATCCTGGCCTATATTTATCTATTGTTCATCTGCGTCTGAAGTTTCTTTCTTAAAAAAAAAAAAAAAATTACCCATTTACATCCTATAGTTTTACAAACCTGAAGGAAGGTCATTCATTTTCTTCCCCAATGTATTGAAATTTTTGCAAACTTTATAGATTTTGAATCTCATATTTATAGCTTCCTGTCCAAAATGGAGTATCTACTGATTTTCTTACATCTTCAAATGTAATGGCAGAATCTTTCTACAACGTAATGCGTAGAAATCTTCATGGGACTTTTTCTATTCTAGTTCTTTTACTTCTCCTAGGCTCCTCTGGTCTTTCTAAAGAGGTCTAATTTGTTATAGAACTAGTTTCACCCTTGATAGAACCATAGGCATACTGAATTACTAGCTAGCGGCCTGTGCTTGTTTATTCTGGTTTTGTAAAGAAAAAATACTTTTTCAAAGTAATGTGCCATCCCTAGCTTCAACTTAGGTTGCTTGTTGGCTATCTCATTAAAGTCAAGACGTTGATTATTAAAAATCATTTGCATTTACTATCAGAAGCTATAGCCAATAAAAATCCATCTACAGTTTTAGGGCCAATCTACTCTTTTATTTCAGGTTATTTTTTGACTTTTGCTTACCAGCACCCCACACTTTACCGGTGATCTAAAATACTAGGATTTCTATTCTTTCCAAATTGTGTTCAAGATCTCTCTCTTATACATTTTTATTTTTGAATAATTAAAATGTAATATTTATTTTTGAACAATTAACATGTGATAAACGTTTTATAACGGTTAAGAGAATTAAATTTTGAAACGGTAATATTCATGAGATTCAAAACGGAAAATATTTTTTATGAGAATAAAAATCGGTAATTAAAATAAATTAATTGCGGATTTATGAGTAACGGATGTTTTAAGCCTATAAAAGGACCTAAATCTGTAGAGTTTGAGACAGTGTGAAAAACACAACATATTCTCTCTTCTTCTCTGTTATTCCTCTTCATATTACTGTTGTTATATTTTTGTTGGTTCCCTGAAAGTCACAAAGAATTCACAAAGCCTTCTTGAAGCTCGTGCCGACGAGAAGGAGGTCGCCTGACCGAGGGTCGTTGTATCTCCGGGAACTTTTGCCGCGTAGCCCTGTACGAGAGGGGGCAATTAGTTTCTTGGGACAGTGCTTGCACGCCTCGACCATCAGGCTATATTCTAAACTCAGTTTAATTTTATATCTATTTTGAATCATTATCTAATTCTGTTAAAACTGCATTTTGTGCTAATTATACTCTAAACAGCTTATATTCCCAACAAAATTTACTTGGTATTGTTTTCGTCAAAAGTTGCCTTCATCATTGATTTCATTAAAACTTCAAACGTTACAAATGAATTCAAATAGCGAAAATAAAAATTACAACTTTCTTGAAAATAAACACAAGATCCGTTTATCGTCTCTTGCTTGTGTGGATCTTTAGCCTATGACGGGGACGTCGATATCCGTGGACTACCTAGCAATCAGATCTGATCCAGAAAAATCGGGCAGAGCTTCGTCGATCCGCGAGGAGATCTAGAAACTTGAAGCGCCTATCTCGGATAAAGCGAGATATTTGCTCTTCTTAGGATTACCGACGAGGGGTAATGCTAAGGAACGGATGCGGGTGATGCAGATCTGATGAAGAACTCACTTGTGTTGAAGTGCTCGATCACTCTTCACTCCAGCAGTGCTTCGCCAATTCTCCAAAAATCCAGATCCACCAAAAGTGAGGCCTAAGGCTTCTATTTATAGGCAACACTCCTGGGGCGTACCCAAAAATCTAGGATACCCCTGGGGCGTACCCAAAAATCTAGGACACCCCCGGGGCGTACCCAAAAATCTAGGACACCCCCGGGGCGTACCCAAAAATCTAGGACACCCCCGGGGCGTACCCAAAAATCTAGGACACCCCCGGGGCGTACCCAAAAATCTAGGACACCCCCGGGGCGTACCCAAAAATCTAGGACACCCCCGGGGCGTACCCAAAAATCTAGGACACCCCCGGGGCGTACCCAAAAATCTAGGACACCCCCGGGGCGTACCCAAAAATCTAGGACACCCCCGGGGCGTACCCAAAAATCTAGGACACCCCCGGGGCGTACCCAAAAATCTAGGACACCCCCGGGGCGTACCCAAAAATCTAGGACACCCCCGGGGCGTACCCAAAAATCTAGGACACCCCTGGGGCGTACCCAAAAATCTAGGACACCCCTGGGGTGTCTCCAAAAATCCGAGACACTCCGCTGTAAATTCTTCGTCCGAACTCGGATTTTAGTGATTCGAATTGTGTTGGAATTCTGACGAAGAGTTCTATCAGCCCCGATGGTTGGATTATCTGTAGAACGAACGAGACACGAAAGGCGTTGTTCTTTTTGTAAACATCGCGGGGGCTCTCGATTAGCCTGTGCCTTCGTTATTCCGAAATTCTGTCAGCTCACGTAGTTCGTCGACTCACTTCAAGCGTTCACCGACGTCAATCGAACTCCTGTGAACCAGATAGTGACGTTCATTGTCGTTCCTTAACACTGAGCTGTTCGTGGAGACCTATAGGCAATTTTCGATGCCTACAGACTTCATTAACCGGATCTCTGCGACTCGTTTCTTTTATAGAAGAGGCTGGAATACTTTGGATGTGATTGGTCCAGCCTTCAGTCGGCGTAAAGGACCTGTAGTTAGCTTCAACTCTTGGCTCCTTCGATTTTCTGGACGAATAACCGAAGTTCTTCCGGCACTGCGTTTATCGCTTGGCCGTCGTCGGAGTCTCAAGTCTACAGCTGATGAATTGAGTTTGGCTCGTGTCATTGAGTTGACTTTGAACTACCTCCGTCACATTGTGTTGACTTAGGGTTTCAGATCACCGTATGTTGACTTGCTGTCGCAACGCGTTGACTGACGTTGACCTAGGATTACGCGTTGACCGGCGTTGGCCCTAGGGTTTCGAACGTCAAACGCTGACTTTTTTTTAGTCGCAACGCGTTGACTGGCGTTGACCTAGGGTTACGCGTTGACCGGCGTTGACCCTAGGGTTTCCCCCGGGGCGTACCCAAAAATCTAGGACACCCCTGGGGCGTACCCAAAAATCTAGGACACCCCTGGGGCGTACCTAAAAATCTAGGACACCCCTGGGGCGTACCCAAAAATCTAGGACACCCCTGGGGTGTCTCCAAAAATCCGAGACACTCCGCTGTAAATTCTTCGTCCGAACTCGGATTTTAGTGATTCGAATTGTGTTGGAATTCTGACGAAGAGTTCTATCAGCCCCGATGGTTGGATTATCTGTAGAACGAACGAGACACGAAAGGCGTTGTTCTTTTTCCGATTGGCCCGGGTCTTCGTTGTTCCGAAGTCCTATCCGCTCACATAGCTCACTGACTCACTTCAGTCATTCATCGACGTCGATTAGGCTCATGTGGATCGGATGGTGACGTTCATCGTCGTTTTTTAACACTGAACCGTTTGTGGAGACCTATAGGCAATTTTCGATGCCTACAGATACCCCCTCCAAAGCGTTCCGGACTCGTTTCTTTTATAGAAGAGGCTGTAATACTTTGGATGTGATTGGTCCAGCCTTTAGTCGGTGTAAAGGACCTGTAGTTAGCTTCAACTCTTGGCTCCTTCGATTTTCGGTCTATTCGATGCTTTGACGAATAACCGAAGTTCTTCCGGCGCTGCGTTTATCGCTTGGCCGTCGTCGGAGTCTCGAGTCGACAGCTGATGAATTGAGTTTGGCTCGTGTCATTGAGTTGACTTTGAACTGCCTCCGTCACATTGTGTTGACTTAGGGTTTCAGATCACCGTATGTTGACTTGCTGTCGCAACGCGTTGACTGACGTTGACCTAGGATTACGCGTTGACCGGCGTTGGCCCTAGGGTTTCGAACGTCAAACGCTGACTTTTTTTTAGTCGCAACGCGTTGACTGGCGTTGACCTAGGGTTACGCGCGTCGAATATTGACCTTTGTCGCAACGCGTTGACTCTAGGGTTTCGAATCAACCTGAGGAGAACCAGTTTATACTCGTGTACTCCTGGGAGTTTCGGGAATTAGTTTAGCCTCGTGTACCCGTCGGAGGTTGACGGGTTATCCTTAAGAATATTATACATAATATTTTCCAGGAACTTCCCGTCAATTGTGAGAAATAGTTTAGACTCGTATTCTCATTGGAGTATAAATACGAGTGTTAAATACGTCGTAAAAATATCTGAAAAGGGGATCAAAGTGTATATAAATTATCCCCAAGTCTTTCTACACATTCGAGCCAACACTTCACACCTCATATGCGTGTGAACCATAAAAAAAATGGCTTAATTCGGTCCGGTTCATGTGGGTTTGGTTCGGGTCAAGTGGATTTGGTCTATGTGGGTTTGGTTCGGGTCAAGTGGATTTGGTCCAACCAAAAAATAATCCCCATTACAAACCCAATCTCCTCTTTCTTTTCTTTCCTCTCTTCTTTTCTTTCCTCTCTTCATTTCCAGCAACCCGTCCCCATTTTTTTTCTCTTTTCTTTTTTTTTGTTCGGTCCCCAGCAAGAGGAAACCACCTCCCCCCTTTTTCGGTTTTGATCTCTCCTCTTTCCTCAAGAGCTCTCCCTCATCAAGCCTCTATCCCATCTTCTTCAAGGTTTTCCTCTTCTCCAAGGGTTCCATCATCTTGACCTTGGCCGAAATTTTCATCTCCTCACAAGCTAGGGTTTGAGATTTTCTTCCTCTTCAAGCTTCAGAACTTGGGTAAGTCTCTTGCTTTGATTTTAGTTAGTTCCTCATGCTTTGGTTCAAAGATTGAAAACCCTAGTTCAATGATTTGGGGGGAAATCCGAAATTTGCATTGGGTTTGATGGGTTGGCCGAAATCTTTGGACTTTGTTGCATGCATTTGTGTAAAGAACTGAAGTTGTTGATTAGCACTCTTTGTTAGCCGAAATTTTCACTGTTCATAGCCAAAAACTACTGTTCATGGCCGAAACTTTGGGTTGATGCTGTACATGGCCGAAAATGTTGACTATTCATGGCCGAATTTTCCTTTTGCGTTGATTCTGGCACTCGTGTTTGTATTTGATTGAGAATGAGGTTGATGGTGGCCAAAATTTTCTTCATGGTTGCATGCATAACTTGGTGATTGAAATATTAACTTGATCCCTTGGCATCAATTGTGTATGAGGACTAAACTCTTTCGCTTGAACTGATTGCTCATAGAGCTCGAGTTATGTGGGAATTCACTAAACATGGTTGTGAATAAGAACCAAACCAAATTCTCGATTTAGGGAACATATTGAGGCCTTGATTCCTGATTTTGATTTTGTATATGCCTCGAATCCAAACTTTGACTTCAAACTTGTATATGATTGCATTCTTGTATGGTTCGAATTTGTACATGATTGAACTCGTACGTGACCGAACCCTTTGTTGAGCTTTTGGTTGATGACTTGCACCTGAACTTAAGTATTGGCCGAGAATTTTTTGTATGCTTTGAATTCAAGCTTGTATATGGCTGAATCTTGAGGGGGCTTTTGTGTAAAAAGATGACTAAACTTTGAAGGGGTTATGTGCAAAAGAGAGCTGAAATTTGAAGGGTTTTTTTTTTGCAAAATTGGCTAAATTTTACAAAAGGGTGTTATGTGTAAGATTAACCAAAATTGTGGGGTGCTGGGGGTGCTATGTGATCAGGTATGATGACCATGACCCAACTCGAGCGTGTCCTTAACCCGAATTTAGCCTTGAACACGAAGGGTATTTTGGGTATTTCACCAAATTTTAATTAAAGTTCTTAATTTCCCTTTTAAATTTCGCGTATTCATATTGTAGATTGTATCTGACTTGTTGCTTTTCATTGCAGGTTTCCGATGCCTCCACGCCGATCTCGACTTCCTAGGAGTCGATCCCATTCGCAGCCTAGCGAGGAAGAAGTTCCCGCAGCATCCTCCCCTCCAGCAGTTTCCTTTTTTGGGGGTGGGAATTTTTTTATTTTTTGTATCCCCGATTGATCCCTTCGCGGGTCATGAAGGAAGAACCGACACCCCCCTTCGCGGGGGTCGAGGTTTCGTACTTGGTGGTTCTGTCATACCCTCGTTTGGCCCCTTCGCGGGTCATTCAGGAAGGGCCGACACCCTCCTTCGCGGGGGTCGAGGTTTCGGACCTAGTGGTTTTGTTATACCCTCGTTTGGCCCCTTCGCGGGTCATTCGGGAAGGGCCGACACCCTCCTTCGCGGGGGTCGAGGTTTCGGACTTACCTTGCTTGGCTAATTCAAGTCTTCTGGTATATTGGGGCGATTTTGTGTCGTCCTACGCCTTATAGGTCAGTGTATGTTACCACGTTATTTACGTGATGATGCATACCGTTCTTCCAATGCAGGACACTCAAAATCGTCTCTCCAATTATCCCGTGACTGATCTTATCTCGCTTTTTATGAACTTTCTGACTCTATCCTTGTAGTCGAGTTCCCCGCGGGCAGCCTTCCTCCTCATGCTAATACTGGTTGTAGCCGGGAGGTCTTCTCTTCAGCTTCCATTAGGCAGAGATCGCTCCGATGAATCCTGTCATTTGATACGGGATGGAGGGCGTCATTGCTTACGCCAGCTTATTACGGATGCTTCCTTCACTGCGGATTCCACTTCCACTCAGGCTTTAAAGAAGCCCGGTTTTCTGTTCGGAGATCACATTGAGGATCCTGCTACATTGACTCTTATCAAGGAGCATTGGCTTACTCTCGACGAAGGAGCTCTCCTGTATATTCCCTCCATTCCTCGTCAGTATTCTTTCACTCATTTGGAGGGACAGGCCGTGGAGAGACATATGTCTTGGCCTCTTACCGATGATGCTGAGCGAGTTCAGTGTGGATCTTATTTTAATGTTGTTGGATAATCGAGTCACGAGACCAACTAACAGAGTTGATGCATCAATGACTCGCACGTTGTGCTAAAAGAGTTAACTCTTTTAGTGCTACGACATTGAATACGTAGACTTCGTCTTTCTCACGGGAATAGACTACCCGACAACGCGTGTTAGGCACTGACTTATCCTTACTTAGGAGTCAGGATAAAAATCCCCAGACTCGGATTCTGGTGTCTTCTTCAATCGGTAAAAGACTAAACCGGCAACGTGTGTCAGGCGTTGACTTATCCCTGCTTAGGCTTCGGGATAAAATTCCCCGTGCGTGTGAGGCACAGATTATGGTGTTATTAATAACAACCTGCCACAATGTTGAATATGTGGTCTTTTGTCCTTTTTACGGTCAAAGACTAACCGGCAATACGTGTTAGACATAGACTTTGGGATTTTTGGCAAACCCCCAGCCTTCAACGGGTTTGATGTGCCTTTACCGGTTACCGTTTGAGCCGGGCTAGCATGCGGATTGTCTAAATCCGCTCCGCATGTAACGTTGTGCTGAGAGAGTGAATTCTCTGAGACTTTGTGCTATGATGCCGAATACATAGGCTTCGCCTTTGTTACGGGAACAGGCTACCCGGCAACACGTGTTAGGTGTTGACTCATCTCTACTTAGGCTTCGGGATAAAATTCCCCAAGTTTGGACCTTGGTGTCTTTTTTCAATCGGTGAAAGACTAAACCGGCAACGCGTGTTAGGCGTAGACTTATCTCTATTTAGGAGTTGAGATAAAATTCCCCGTGCACAAAGTGCCCGGATTGGAAATTGAAAATTGTGTCCTTTATCAGAATAAAGACGGATTGGGAAACGGGAGAGGAAGAATTTTATATTCTATCTCCCGGGACTGAAGAGAAAGAATTTTATATTCTATCTACAGTCGGAAAGGAAACTCAAGGTGGGATCTCCACCCCCAGAATCCGAAAAGATGAAACTAAGAGTGGGATCTCCACTCCAAGAATCGGAAAAGTTCAAACGACCCTAACTTTTATAGGATTGGTCATTTGAATCAAAAGAATCTCTCATTTATTAAGGGGAAAGCCCAATTTCGACCCTAACTTTTATAGGTTTGGCTGAAAAAAGAAAAGATGGAAGTCTTTCGTTTATCGAAAAGGATAACTCAATCTTAGTCCTAACTAGGTAGACAGTGAGAGTGGGAGTTTTGAGATGATCTTATCTTTTACAGGCTTGATCGTTCAAATTGAAAGTGGACCTCTCGTTCATGGAAGGAATCGAGAGAGGAATTTTGGCTGTGGTCCTAACTATAGGAAGGTTTGACCGCTCGATTTGTGGACCTCTCGTTCATTGGGGGAAATCGAGAGGGGACTTTGGTTGTGGTCCTAACTTTTATAGGTTTGACCTGAAAGCAAAGAAAGTGGAATACATGTAGCAAAGAAAGTGCCAACTCGTATTATCACTCAAAGGAAGACTTTAACGCTGGTGATTAGGACCTAACATGTTGAGTCTGAGAAATGCCAATGACTGGCAGATGGAAATGTTGGTGGATCCACCGTCAATTAGTTTGATCAGTAGATGGTTTGGTGAGGAAAGATTAACCTATCAGAGGATTGGATCTCATCTCACAAAAATAACTCATAAGAGTTAGAGAATTTTGATAATAAGAAGAAACGTTCCAATGTTCTGAATTCGAGCAAGAATTTCTTATTCATCACTTCTACAATGATTGGGTTATCCCTAAGAATATTAACATTCTTTTGGGAACTTCCCGTTACACGAATTATCCACCCCCAGCTTTCTTGCAAAACTGGGTGTAACGAGGAGTACGTTATCCTCAATCGCATGTTCAGGTTATCCTTAAGAATATATGATTCTCTAGGAACTTCCCGTTACATGAATCGTCCACCCCCAGCTTCCTCTGCAGAACTGGTTCGGACATTATTCTCAGTTACCTGACCGGGTTATCCTTAAGAATATTAGCATAATATTCCCTAGGAACATCCCGTTAAAAGTGGGAAACAGTTTAGACTCATATACCTATTGGAGTATGCAGGGAACAGTTTAACCTCTTGCACCTATTGGAGGATTGAGAAACAGTTTATACTCGTATACTCTTTGGAGTTTCGGTTCTCAATTGGCTTACCTTAGCGTTATAACGCCGGCTTCAACCAAGGTCTGAATGCTATTCTTGAGAGTAAAGCAATCCTTGGTGGGATGAAGGACCCTCCTGTGGTATGCACAGTACTTTGGATCCGTCGTGTTGTCAGCTTCCTCCTGATTTGTGATAGGTGGTAACTTGATCTTGTTACTATCGAGGAGGGATTCGAAGATGGCTAGAACATCTTCGTCTTTGAAGGAGTATTTTTTTTGGAGTTTTGGTTCCGAAGTCTTTTGCTGCCTTCGGGATTGCTGTTGTGACCTTGATTGTTGAGGCGCCTTTTGTTGCCACTGTTGTGGTTGCGCTTGCACCTCGAATGTTTGATTCGCGTCCACAGCATTAGCATGTGCTTTTCCCTTAGGGACAAAGTTCTGTTGCGGGGCATTATTAGCTATTTGGCCCCTTTCCACCTTCTTCCTTTTAAGGAATCGCTCGGCTCGTTCTCCTCGCACCTTTAAATCCTTCCAGGTCTTTGGCGGTGCCATTCCCATAGCTTCGAGGATGTCCAATGAAAGGTTATTGTGACAAGTCTCGAGGATAAAGTCTTCGCTGACCGGATCCCTGCAGTTCATTGCTTTGTTTCGAAATCTCTTCATGAAGTTCTCGACCGTCTCACCATTTTTCTGCTTCTCGTCAAATAGAGTGCCGATTGAGACCTCGGTGTCGTAGTCGAAGAAGTTCGTTAGAAACATATCCTCCATGTCGTCCTAACTGCTGATACTCCCTGGCTTGAGGCGACGATACCAATCGAAGGCCGCTCCGCCAAGAGTGCCAACGAACGACCGCACCATTAAGGGTTCATTCCCGAAGATTATTTCTAAGTGAGACTTAAAATATATTAAGTGTTGGGTGGGGGAACCCTTTCCATCAAACGGCATAAAGTTGATTAAATTGAACTTTACCGGATATGGAATTGATTCCCACTCCCTTGGGTATGGACATGGTATGCCGGACCTCTTTGCTTCTTGAGCATTCATCAACGCGTTGATTTTGCTCTCCAAGTCCTTCATTTTCTTGTCTTCACTCGTATCTGTTTTCGAGTGGTTTCGGGGAGAGGTAACGTGATCCTCTTTTGCATTATCATCCGAAGGACCGTCTCCATTATTGTTGTTGACAGGGGAGGGATGTTCATGTTGTCATTATCCTCTTCCCGTTCATTCTCCTCTTGATTCGGATTATTGCGACGACTGGGTTCTCCTTGGTGAGTTGTCAGTGCCGCTATTTGCTGGTCATGCATCTCTCTCATTTGCTGCATGGCCATCTCCATCTCGAACTTGAAAGCTTCTTTCTGCTTAGTCAAGGCATCTTCAAGCATCTTGGTTACTTGTTCGGCGCTGATCATGAGTGACTCGTAAGGTTGCCCCGCACTAGACGCTGTGTCATCGGATGCATAGCCGAGCAAGAATCTGAACCAGCATCTGACACCTCCTCTTCCAACGGAAGTCCCTTTTGCATCCTTTGGTAATTCTTTCGCCTATTGATCCCTGACCGCAATCGAGTCATGCGCTGGGATGCTTCGGCAAGTTGATCTGAGCTAGAGGGTCGTGTCGATTTGCTTCTGCCGGTCATATTCACAGACACTTCTAGGAATTCATCTTCTTGGCGGACAGGCTTCTTCCTACGGAAACGCCTTGGCCTGGTCTCGGATGTTCCGGTGGAAATTCTCTCGAACAACGAAACTCTCCTTGGAGCTTTAGTACAGTAGCATTCTGACAGTACCGCCTTGATTATGTTGGCACACGGACAGTGAGATTCCGTGTCTCGAGCGTCTCTCTTTCGAGACTTACCCGCACCCCCAGCTCTATAGTACAACTCATCAGTTTGATAACTGGAGCAACCCATAGAGTGTTGGCATGACTTCCCAGGTATAACACAATCATCATCAGACGAATGTGTTTCCCTCTGGGGATATGACGCTTTATTAGCGTTTTCAAAAGTCGCTCGTTCAAGTCTACGCTTTTGCGAGCGTGAAAACTTAACGGGCTCTTGAATTTTGACACGCAATCTAATGCGGTCGGTAACAGGGGCTTTCCCTTTGTTATTTTTCTTAGGGGGATTGGTACGACCCCTAGTCTGGACTATGGCTTGGGGACCTTTCAGCGGTCCCAATCGCTCCTTGACAAGTGCTTTACCTCGGTTCTCTGGTAAGGGACCGAGACGACCTTTTAAAGAAACCCTGGATCTAGAAGGACTCCCGTTCTTACTTGACTCCGCCGGAGGGGCAGGGGAAACGGGATCTGGATTTGATGAAGTTTGGACGACCATTCCGTCCACTTTTGCCTTTGGTGCCGGTTTTGCCTTTGGCACCCACATCGACTTGTGTTTTGACGGCTTCTTGACCGTCTCTTCTTTCTGCATCTCTTCCGCTTTCTGCAGAAGGACTCGGGCATGCGCAAGCAATGCGCGGCGTTTCTTAATTCGCCCTTCGAGGGTTGAGCGAGTCCTCTTGACACGAACTCATTCGTTCGTCTC